GCAGGCACCATCTTCCGTCTTCAGCTTCCCCAGCAGGGAGCTGGGGGCCTCATCCCCACTGCAGGGATGGCAAAGCCCAGGTCCTCAGGTGCCTGCTGGCACCTGGCCTGTCCAGATGGCCCACGTCGTGCCTGGACATGGCCCAGCATTGGAACAGGTCTGCTCCTGTTGAGCCCAGACAAGTTGCTGAGGTCCTTTAGCACAAGACCCCAAGCGAGGTCATCTCAGCAAATGGTGACCGTGGGTGAGTCAGCAAGTGAATGAATGAATGAATGAATGAATGAATGAATGAATGAATCAGGGAATGAAAAGGCTATTTAAGGGACTCTGTTCTTGGGGAGGTGTGGGAGAGCATCGTCATCGCCTCCAGGGAGTCCCCTGAGATTAATAACCCACAGGAAAAGGCCCATTTCAGCTCTCCAGAAACAAGGGTCCCCCAACTACCTGGGTCCCAGGAATCCCCCCTGGCTGTCCACGTGCCCCCACTAAGGAGCCCTGAGAACACCTCTGCCCTAGTCTCCATCCCCCAGCACACTCTTGCCTAGGCTGAGCCCCGAGTTGAGAGTGGAGTCTGGGGCGGGGGTGCCATAGGGGAAAACCAGTCTCCTCTCTCCATCCCCTCTGCACTTCACCCCCTTTCTGTGCTCACTTTGGGGAGCCCCCAGGATGGGGGCTCGGCACACACGGGTTAGCTCCAAGGAGCTTGCAAGCTAGGCTGCTGGAGCCCCCTGCTGGCCAAGCATCACCATTCCCCATGGGGGTTGGGAGGAGTCTTCATTCATTCAGCAAATATTTATGAAGCCCCTACTACGTGCCAGGCCCTGGGTTAGGCCCTGCAGCTCAGCAGGGAACGTCCACAGACCCTCCCTTCTGATGCCTGTGGCTCAATATGTGGTGCCTGGTGTCAGGGTCACAGCCCCCCGCCCCCAGGCTCCCCAGGACGGTCCCCACCCCCAGAAAATTGAAATCTCCCTGTGTGCAGGAGGTGTTCCCCCACCATGAGACAGAGCATGGTTGCGCTATCCCCCCCAGGCTGGGGCTCCCACGGGCTATAAAACCTGCCATTCCTGAGAAACCTCTGGACTCACTCCTGGAGCCTCTCAAGGCTAGGGCTGCCAGATAAAATATAGGATGCCCAGTTAAACTTGAATTTCAAATAAACAAGGAATGATTTTTTAGTATAAGTATGTCCCAAATATTGCATGAGGTATACTTAAACTAAAAATTATTTCTTGTTTATCTGAAATTCAAGTTTAACTGGGCTCTGTGTTTCTACTTGCTAAATCTGGGAACCCTACCCCTGGAGCTCATTCCTTCTGCTGGCACCTGGCCTGTCCAGATGGCCCACGTCGTGCCTGGACACGGCCCCTGCCTGCCCCATTATAGCTCCTGTCCGCCTCCAGGACGGCTGTCCTCCCCAACAGGCCCCGAGTTCCCGGGTGGACACCCACTCCCACCTGGTATGCATGCTCCAGCCTATGGCCTGTCAGGAATGCTGTCTGACCTCCTTCAGGATGGCTCCAGAGAGAGGGGGACAGAGCCGCCCCTGCAAAGAGGGACCTCGAGTGTCAGAGACAGACAGAGGCAGAGATCCAGAGATAAAGGGGCATAGAGAGTGAACAATGGAGACAGTGGGAGAGAGCCGAGACAGAGCCAGAGAGCTGAAGGCCCCCTGCCCAGCACTGCTTCATGGAGACCAGCTCAGAGGCTGGAGGGTCCTGAGAGCCCACCAGGGCTTTCCCTGAGTGGATCGGGGTAGAGGCTGGGCCCCTGAGCCCCAACATTGGACTTGGGACTCTGGGTCCTGGATGGGCAGGCCCTGAGAGGCAGCTCGGGGTCTCCCGCCCTAACAGTCAGGGGTGGGAGTCCATCCCCAGTCCCCAGCCCCTGCTGCTCTCCCCTCACCCTGCTTCCTAGGGGCAACACAGGGACATTCAAGGCTTCCCAGAAGGGCCCATGGGGCAGCCAGAGTGGCTTTTAAAATTAGCCTCACTAACCAGATCTGGTTATTTCAGGAGGCTCCATCCCTGGCTGTCCCCTTGGCAGGGCGGGTACAGGGAGGGAGGGAGGGACCTCTACATTCCAGGGTCCCTGGCTAAGTACCCCCTGTGGCCTAAGCAGTAGAGAACATCCAGGTCCCAGTCCCCTGGCACTGGGTGGGCCTGGGCCTGTGGCCGTCTCTTTGGCAAAGTCACCTCAGGGTTAGGCATGGATGTCCATGGACACCCCAGCTGCTACGGGACAGGGGAGAACCCCTCTTGTGGGCATGGGTCTTATGCCAGGCACCTTAGAAGCCGTGACAGCCTCTTCACAGCAATAGGTAAGGCTTTGTCCCCCTTTTATAGGCAATGAACCTGAGACCTGGAGGACAGGTACCAGCTCTAAGGCAGGGAAGTTGGGGGTCGGGTCAGCCAGGCGCCCAAGTCCCTCCACAGGAGGCCTCTTGCCTCCTGCGTCTGGAAAAACCTCTGGCTGCCATTTCCACCACCAGAGTTATTTCTACGTAGCGTCCACCGCTTCCCGGAGCCCGGTGCCCCCCACCCAAGCCCTAATTCCAGCCTCGGGTCAGTGTCCTGGCCCGCCCTCCCCACCTCAGAACCCAGAGTGAGCACGGAGCTGGCGCGGACACAAGAGAAACAGTGTTGGGCACTTTGATCCCGGAGGCCAGATTCGTCCTCGGCCCCACCTTGGAGCCTGGGGAGGTGGGGATGGGCTGGGGCCCAGCCTGAAAGAGCCCAGACGCCGGCCCTGGCCACAGAGAGGGGCTGGCCCAGGCTGGGCAGGCAGAGGGCAAGGGCAGGGTCCGCGTCTGCTGGGCTCAGCTGTGGTGCGCAGTGCACGCGCAGTGCCTGGGGAAGCGCACAGGTGAGGATGCCCAAACCCCTTTATAAAAGGATCATCAGTGCCAGCAAAGCCCAGGAGCTGAGGCTCAGGGGAGCAACCGGCGATCACACGTTCCCAAGGTCTGAACATCTGTGGCAGGGCAGCACCAGCTACTCCATCTTCTACACCGAAAGCCGACCCCACACCCTCTGACGTGGCTTATGGATATGGTCCCCGTTAATGACTAATCACTGCCCCTGCCCCCCAACACGCACACTGTTTTTAGAGCACACCACGTGCTGGAGCCGCACCCCTGAATCCTCACGGCAGGGTACCCAAGTCAGAACTATTAGCCCTCCCACTGTGTGGATGAGGAAACTGAGGCCCAGAGAGCCAAAAGCATGCGCCCCAAGTCACACAGAGAGGAGGTAAAGGCACTCAGAGCTAAGCTCTTGACCTTGGTGCTGAACTGTGGCTGCTGGCCCTTCGGTGGTGCGATGGGAGGAGACAGGGCAAGAGACTGAGGGGAAGATGGAAGATGGGAGGGGGGCGTTTGGGCTAGCGGACTGGGGTGAGGCTGTGCAGGGGAGGGGGGGGGCTCGTAGGGGACCCATGGAGCCCAGGGCAGCCCAGAGCCAAACCAGGCGGGTGGGGTTAGGGACTGGGTGTGAGTCACAGCCCCTGGGTGGCCCCAGACATCCTAGCGCCACTGTCAGGAAAAGCATGGCAGCCCCTGGGGGGTGCTCTCACCACTGTCCTGCGGAGGTCGTGGGGGTTGTGGTAGGCAGTGAGGAGGCCACCAAGCTGTCGAGAAGGCCAAGGCATGTGCCCACCCCAAGCTACTCTTCCTCCTGCACTCCTACCTCAGAGGGGACCCCCTCACCCAGTACCCGGGCTGGACTCCCCCGCCTCAGACCCATATCCCATCATGCTCCTGATGCTCATGATGCTCATGCCCCACAGTCCTTCCAGGCCTGCCCACTGTCCCCAACGACTGCCTCCTCGACCCTCCTTTCCCTCTCTGACACTGCCAGCTGGTCTCCACCAGCAACCCCAGCTTCTCTCTATGGCAATCCGGGTTTCAAATCCTCGATGGCTCCCCGCTGCCCTGAGCACAGACCCCTGACCCCTTGGTCTGGTATTCAAGGCCACATGGCCTCTGGCCTCATCTCTACCCCATCACCTTCCCATCACTCAGAACTGTTTGCGGGGCGCCTGGGTGGCCCAGATGGTTGAACACCCACCTCTTGATTTCGGCTCGGGTCATGATCTCAGGGTTGTGAGATGGAGCCCCATGTTGGGCTCCATGCTCAGTTCAGAGTCTGCTTAAGATTCTCTCCCCGCCCTCTGCCCCCGACCCCTTCTCGTGAACACTAAGTAAATAAATACAATCTTAAAAAAAAAAAAAAAAAAAAAGAACTGTTTGTTACCTTCCCAATTCCAGGCACTCCCCTCCACACATTTGCACCTGCAGTTCCCTGCCCCAGCGACACTTTCCTAGGCCTTTCCAGGATGCTTGGCCACCACTGCTGCTGAGTCTTCTCCATGTCTCCCTCACCCAGGCTGGGCCCCTGGTTTGTGCACACCGGGTCACTCAGTACCCTTTATTGTAACTGGCCAGCACAGGGAACCCTTCTCTGGCCCCGTCGGTCCTGGTAAGCAATCCCTTGGCGCCCCCTGGTGGCCACATCGAGGAAATTCTTGGGCTTCATTGAGCAACAGGAGAGCAGAAGTTGATCCTGGAGCACCCACTGGGCACCAGACATTGTGCCAGGTGTTGGATATACACCAGCTCGAGGAACCCCCATCACAAGCCCTTGGGAGAGATACTACTGCTCCTATTTCACAGAAGTGGAAACTGGCTCAAGTTTCTCAAGGCCACCCAGCTAGTAAGTGATGGCGTCAGGACCCCAACCAAGGTCCGCCTGACTGCAGAGCTGTCTTCCCCCCCCGCCCCTGCAGACGGGGAACGGGGTGGAGGGAAGGGCAGCACGATGGGGAGGAAGCACCCTGGTGGTCACAGAACCCGTGGTTTGGCCGTGGAGATACCACTGGAGCCTAGCAGCAGCTCTGAAGAGTCGGGTGAGGCGGACGGACGGGCTGGTACCTCGGTACCACTGGGATCTGTCTGGAGTCAGTCCGGGCAGAGTGCACACAAAGCCAGGTCCAACCCGGGGTACAATAGCGATAAATAGAATTTATTTTGTACAACTGTTACTGACATACACACAGCCACGGGGGCTTCCAAAATGGGTGTAGGGGCTGGAAGGCTGGCCTTTGGCGTGGTGCCTAAAAAGTGTGGACAGACACACACAAGGATGTGGACTCACAGCAGCTGTGCCTGGCCGCCCCTCCGTGGGAGTTGGGGGGGGCGCAAAGGCGAGGCCCATAACTCTAGGCCAGCTGAGACCCCTCAACCTGGAGTGCCCAGAGCATGGGATGGCAGGGGTTAAGCTGGGTGCTGGCTGAGAAGCCAGGTAGGTCCCTCTTCCCCCTAAGGGGGTCACTTGTCAGGTGGAGGCAGTGGACAGGGCATCGGCAGATCTGTGGGAGAGCTTGAGGGTCCAGGAGGGGCAACAGGCATAGGCAGCTCCCAGTCCCTCAGCCCACCTGGGGTCCCAGGGGACCCAAGAAGCAAGGTAGGGCGATGGGGGACCCCTAGGAGGGTAAGCCCCCATTCTGGGGCAGGTGCATGGAATCGCAGTCTTCAATGACCTCTGAAATAATCTCGTCCATGTGCAACAGAGGTACCCAGAGAGGCACAGTGACTTGCCCAAAAGTCACACAGCAGAACCCAAATTGGAAGCCAGGACTCAGGACTCCCAGCCCAGTGCTCATTCCACCATATTTCACATCCCGCTGCCTCCACGGTAGGCTCTGTATGCACTGAGATTTCTCAATCCGCTCCTCCCAATTTGCTCCCCGAGTCCAGAGGGGTACCCAGGTGTGATGAAGGGCCCGGAGTGGGGACAAGCCAGGCCCAGCGTTCTGCTTCAACTGACGATGGCCTGCCCCAGCTTCAGGGATGGGGATGATGCCAGCAGCTTCCCGCTCCCAGGTCTGGATGGCTCCGCCCCGCAGAGACAGCCCAGACGGGTGGCCAAGGTGGGGGCAGGGGGCAACCCATAGGCTGGTGCTGGCCTTGGGGGCAGAGGTCCTATCCACCTGGACTCGACACAGCATCTTCACCTTGTGCTTCTGCAGCCTCATCTGCAGGGTAAAGGGAGATGAAGACACCATGAAGCAGGGAGACAGAAGTGGGAGGGGCCCGCCCCTGGAGTCCCAGGCTCTCTCTGGGTCTTTTGGGCCCACTGGGAATCAATCCCCCAGGCCCCTCCCTCCCAGCAATTCCCAAGTCCTTGGCAGGCTCCCACCAAATCCTCCCAGCAATTTGTGGGTGGGGGTGAGGCAGCATGTATTGGCCCCACTGCACAGATAAGGAAATGGAGTCACAGAGAGGGGCCAGGGACCTCCCCAAGTCCTACCCAGCATCTGAGTGGCAGAGGATTCGAATCCAGGTACATAGAGGTCTCAGGCCGAGGAGATGGCAGAGGACCAGGAAGGCGTCATCCCCGCTTCCCGCCCACCCGCGCCCTCTCCTGCCCTCTCCCCACCAAACAGGAGCCGAGGACTGGGTCTGACCTGCTCAGTTTCACCTTCAGAGCGGGAGCCTGGCTAACAGCCCTGCACAGACAGAGCGCCGGCGAGGCAGGTGACAGGACAGATGAAGACACGGGAGGAGACACAGACAAGCAGAAGACACGGGTTGTGCCCAGGCCAGACGAACCCAGCCCCTCCTGGCCTCGGGGACCTCTTGGTCTGGCACCCACCCCCGGTCCCCTTGGACACCTGTCCCCTCTCCCCGAGAGCTGACGCCCTCCTGGGGGAGCGTTCCCACCAGGCGGCTTCTAAGGCTGGCCGCACCGGCCCTGGCCAGCCCCCTGGTGGCGGCACGTACCAGCTGGGGTGTGTGCTGCTCAGATGCTTCCAGCTGGATCTTGATCTCGGGACACGCAGGGTCCCCCGACTTGCCGGCGTCGGGATGGGGTGACCGCGAGGGGCCTGGGGAGGGGGGCAGGAGGGAGCCACCTCACTGGCCGCGGGGAGGCACCAGGGAGATGGATGCATGGATGGGCGGGAGGCACCAGGGCTCCGCGGCCCCGCCAAGTCCCTCCGTCAGGGAACCCAACCCTTACCTCCCTTCTTTACTCCTCCTCCATCATCCTCCAAGACCCTTCCAGAAGCCAGCAGCCCTCAACCATCTTAGGCTAGATAATGACCCATCCACTATCCCCTCTGTCAGGGGCAGGCCCATCACACACCCACCACCTGGGGCGTGAGGATGGTCTCGGCCCTCTGGGCCTCTCCCTGCCCCCTCCTGCCACCAGAGGAGCTTGGCAGGGGAAGCCGCCTGTGGCCTGGTACCTGGGGAGCTGCCCCCGCTCGTGGTGCTGACACTATCCTCCAGCCACGTGCTGTAGACGAAGGAGTCCCGTTTGTGAGGCGTCCCTGAGGACGAGACGCTCTCCTGAGGATGGGGGAAGAGAAAAAGGAAGGTCAGCCCTCATCCATGGCACTGGCTGGGCTCCCCTCCCGTCTCCCAGCTTCCTCTGCTTGCAGCAACCCACGACCCCTCACCCTCGCCCCCCCTGCAAAGAGGAAGGGGGCCCAGCAATGTCTGCCCCAGGGAGACCAGAGGAGGACAGAGTGGGAGGCATACACCACACACTCCCATTCATTCATTCGGCAAACATTCACTGATGTTTATCCTGGGCCAAGCTGATGAGAGAAGGCAGGCAGGGTCCCTGCCCTCAGACAGTGAAGTCTAGGAGGCAAGACAGGCTGTGAAGAGGCTATCAAAATCTTAGACTCTGAGCTCCATCGGGCGGGGCCTTGGTCTGCACTGTTCCCTGCTGCGTCTGCACTTGGAACTGGGCCTGGCAAAGAAGAGGGGGCCACTAAAGCTTTGCTGAATGAAGAATGACACAAGGGTGCTAAGGGCAAAGCCCCGGGGGGCCTGTGAGAGCATGAAGAGGGGGATTCCCAACCTACCCTAGGACTAGAAAATCAGGGAAGGCTTTCAGGAGGAGGTGATGTGAGGCTGAGTCGAGAAGGATGAATAGGAGTCAGTCAGACAAAGGGGGAAAGAGGAGGCAGGGAGAGTGCTCCAGACCGAGAAGATGGCAAGCGCCAAGGCCCAGAGGTGGGGTAAGCCTCGTACGCTGGGGGGACTGCAAAGGAGCACAGAATGGCTAAAGTGGTAAGAGATGAGGCTGGGGAGGGCCCGGCTCTTCAATGGAGCCCTCAGAGATGGGGCTCTCTGGGGGCAACACTGGGGAGCCATGGAAGGCTTCCGAGTAAGGGACGGTGAGTCTGCATGACTCCTTTGGGCTGGGTGCCCCCCTCTCATCTCAGCCACACCCAGGCTCATGCTTCTGCCCGGAGTATCTACAGGGACCAAAGGGCCATCCTCCGGGCCGCCGGAGAGCACCACGGCTCCCTGGGCCCCTCACCAGGCCTGTGTCGTCCGCGTCCACGCCCTCGGCCTCCTCCACCACGCTGGCGAAGCTGCTGGCGCTGGACGAGGAGCGGGAGAAGTCCTTCAGCACTTCCGCTCTCTGGGCCGCCGTCTCCGCTCTGCCACAGACAGCACCCCGTCAGCCTGCGTCTGCTCCAGGCACCACACCCCGCTTCCCTGCCCTGGGAGCCCAGCCTGCAGCCACCCAGGCACCTCTGTGGCCCCCACCACAGCTGCCCAGGCCTCGGAGCCTCCCCCCACCACTGTCCTTCCTAATTCATGGATCGGAGCACACCCCTCCACTGAGCAAAACCCTCTTGTGGCTCCCCATCGTCGCAAATAAAATCTATTTCCTTGGCGAGGTATTCAGTAATAACAGTAACTATTAACAGAAAAACTATGGTCCAGCGTATGTTTGCTCTGTGCCAGGCACTGTTTCAAGTGCTTTTACTGGAGTTATCTCACTGTTATCATTAATAGACCCATCTCACAGACGAGGAAGCACCAAGGCTCAGAGAGGGTAGGCACATAGCCCAAGGTCACCCAGCCAGAGGCGGGAGAACAGGGTTTAGGACCCAGGCCTTCCAACTCCACCGTCTACTCTCAAGCCTCTTGGTTTTGTTCCCTGCCCAGGACTCTGCGTCTCCTGCAGTCCCATTCCTTCCCTCAAATCCCCAAAAGCAGATTCATCTTTCAAAACTCAGCCGAGGGTCTCCTCCTCCCTGATTTCCTCCTCTCAAGGTGGGAATGGACCTCCCCACTCTGGGTCTGCAAGCCCTGTCTCTCCCTGTTCCTGTCGTCCATCCCTGGCCCTTCAGGAGAGCACAGTCTGGGAGTCTAGGCTCCCAGAGCCAGCACAGAGGGGGCTGAGCTGCAGCGCTGAAGGGAGGGGTGGCCTCCCCCTACTTCCATTCTTCCCCACGCCACCTCTTCATGTGGCGACCACGGTCAGGTCTGAAAGCATCACTCCTCTTAACTAAAACCCCAAAGGCTCCTGCCTGGCCCCACTCAGGGTAAAATGCAAAGTTCTCATATGGCTTCCAAAGCTGGGATCTAGCCCCTGCCCACCTCCCTGACCTTATCCTCAGCAACACCCAGCACAGCGTCCGCCTGGGCCTAGCCCCTCACTCGCGCAGCTCCAACCA